TACCACTAATTTAGAGTCGGTAGAATCTCCAGTACCTAGAACTCCACCACAAGTTCTGCGGGACCTAACTTCATTGAAGACAACTCCTGATAAGCAACCGATAAGTAATAAAAAAATTCTTCAGTAAGTCTCTCTCACTGTGTATATTTAATGAATAAGAGGCAATCTAATAGCGTCTTACAAATTCCTTCAGATATTCCGAGGAGATATCTGTAATATGCACGTTTGACAAGTCGGTTACCGAGTTGACTTTAGAAATCAGTGTGGAGCTTGCAAACAAACTTTCTTCTGTATGCGATACTAATCCTGAAATATGGATGCCAATATAGAAAAATATATTGACAATGTTCTAAAAAAATCTGAAATGCAATTTAAAAATACTATATTGGTTGATGCTCCGAACGACCTTTTCTGATTATACTGTGAGAAAGTTCTTCTTGATTTGTAAGTAATATTGAGGCTTATCAATTAAGCAAAAGAAAATACTGACAACTACTCTTTAGCTACAATCTAGTTGATATTAACCCCACGATGGACAAAAAGATAGGCGAACGTAAATATATAACCTACCAAATCTCGTCAATTTATAAATTTTATGAGAAAACATTTTTTAACCTCGATTTTGACTAGATCAAGTCTCACGCCCGCTCTGCAAGAATTACGAAATCTGGGATATATTCAGGAATTGTCAAGGTAAATTTCATAGCGACCTATATAACGCGACAAACACACACACCTTGAGTGATACAAAAAAAACACTCTGTATAGATGTATTAAATTTGGTTGCAATATTGAGAAACTATTTTGATTGTAGTGTGGAACTTGCTACAAAAATAAAAGTTTTTTGTATCCAGGTTATTGGTAAGTAATATATCTGTATAACTAGTAAGATTGAATTTTCTGTTACTTATGTTTTATTTTTTTAGGCACTCAGATGACTCTGTATGCACTTAGTATGCTTCCAGATAGAAGGTTTATCTCTTCAGAACTTGCTACCACAATAGTCTCTTTTAGCTTCTGTGGCCAGAATCAATTCAAAGCTATCTTCAGGATGATGGCTATTTTTTCATGTATATGTATCTTATGATTGCATTTATATTTTATTTTCCCAAAATGCTTATTCGGTGATAGTACTTTTTCTCCAGAATGAAATAACAAAACAAGAAGAACTTATGGGCAAGATTGATAGAATTGTATTTCGATCTAACGAAACAACAATTCAGCAGATATTAAAAATCCCTAATGAATTATTCGAGTGTTTACATTAGAATAATAGAATAGATTTACCATAGCATATACATTGTATCAAGAATGATTTTTATGATAACGTATTGTGCATTAGAAAATAAAAATATGTTTTCATATATATGATACCGTTTTTGCTTTATTGTATAGATATCAATGTATATTAAACCACAGATCAAAATTTCATCCTGAATTATTAAAACCGTTTCCTCAAGAAAAATCGTGATCGAATTTTTGTACAATCTCATACGTATTGTGTTAAAATAGATCCCCAGATTTCTGTGTCAGAATATCTTGGCATCATAATCAGCAGGGCTGGAATTACAGCTGCTTTTATGAATTATGGGTAGTGTTCCGCAAAGTCAGTTCTGAGCAGGTTTAATTAAGAACCGTGCTAGACCCATCATGTAAAACCAAGTCCTTATATGGACTCAGAACCATACTATACTGGATCTGGAATCGAACCGGGTATAAAAATAAAGATCTTTTAAATAAATAAAGCCTAGTTAATAAGAACCTTTTTAGCACCTATTATGAATTTTGAACTTAACTAAAATTTGATTATTAAATCTAATGCCAATTATATTGAGTTTTTTAAAAGCAACCTGTGACAATAATATTGAATTGCATTTATTTTTTTTTTACATAATTTTAAATGTACTATTTTAATAAAAATATATTTATTTAAATTTCTGCACCATGATCTTAAACACATTGCTACTCATACAGTTTTGTCTGCCAATCTGTTTGTTTGTCCATAATTATATCATTACTAATGCTAAAAATCTGCTCACTTGGCACACTTGTAGATGGTATAGAAAGGCAGTCTCTAGTAAATTTCGCAAGATTTGGATAATTTATATCATTTTCATGCCACTATTCTAAGATATCTTTGTCTGAATTTATATGAGGCATCAATAAATAAGTATCTAATTCACACTAGCATTCGACATGAACTTGCTTATAAATTCTTCTTGTAATATTTACTGGTAGTAATTCAAGAGTTGAATAGGTATTTGGACTAGAAGCAGGTGCATAGCTACGTTCATATTTACTTTTAATGCTAAACATTATATTAATAAAATTAAGATTATATAAAACAATATATAAATAATATAATAAAATTACTTACATATTTTTAATCTAAGTAATAAGATGCAACGGCTAACCTAGCTCTTCAAAATATTGAATTTTAAGTCTTGGATCCAAAACGATCACCACAAGATGTAATACACCTGTTTTATAGCAATAATTTAGAAGTTTATTTATTGCAGCATCACATTCTTGAATGAGCTATTCCGGTATTTCATTATTTTTTTTTCCTCCTCAAGAATCTTGAGCAATTCATAGTAAAGAGGCACAGTTATTAATAACGTAGAATATGCTGAAGATGACATAATAACTATAGCTTTTTTAAATAGGTGCAGAATTTTAATAAGTTGCTTTAACTTATTCTATTCCGGTTTTGTAAGAATATTTTTATTTAAATCTACCTCCACACGAGCAACAGCATCCAACATGGTTTGTAACTTTAATGCCCGTTCGATCATCTTACAGGTAGAGTTCCACCTGGTAGTGATATCAAGAATTGGTTTCAACATGCTTATATTATTAATTTGACATGTCATTTTGAACTTTTTGCAAAGTGTTCGTGAGCCTCTAATACTTTTAATTAATGATCGCAACTTTTCAACCTCTCCATCTACATATGTAAGCAAACTTTGCATTGCTAGATTTAAAACATGGCCGAAGCATCGAATTGATTGTTGCATGCAATCAAATTGAATTCCATTTTATATTACAGAATTGGAGAATTCATTTAAAAATTTAATATTTGATGATGCATTATCATGTATAACTGCAACTAATTTAGAAATTATGCCCATCGATTGAAGACACTCTTCAAATGCATTTGAGATTGCTGCACCAGTATGTGTTCCATCCATATGAATAAAATTTAACAATAAAGACTTCATATACTATGAACTATCTAGAAAATAAATTGTGATTGCTATAAACGATTTTTTATATGTGCTTGTTGTTCATATGTCAGTTGTTAATAAGATACCTTCTGAAATTTCTTGTAGCTTGTTTTGAAGTATTCCACATTCATCTTCAAAAACATTCATTAGATGTCTCTTTATCGAATCAGCAGAGGGCACTAATTAAAAATATTTGTAACTTAATTATTATATTACAATAAAAACTACTATAACAATATAT